TAGGCTGGAAAAGAGCTTGCGGCGGTCAAGCCAAAACATGGCCTCACCAGTCAATGGAATCCACAACAGTTACTTTAAGCCAAATAAGTAGGAAGGTGTAGACTTCCTGGTTGGGGTCCTCGCGACAGTAAAAACCAATGGCTGGAAACTATTGGTGACATGGCTCAAAATCGTTCTCAATGGTGGCGCAGATGCATCCACTCCTTGTGACTTATGATTTCCAATGAAACTCTTTTGTTCTTCGTTATTACTCCTCCTTTGTCTCACACCTCTTCTCACTGTCTCTATTATGCTTTTCTTGTACTTTCTTCTCTTGCATCGCGTGCTACACGGAGTGTGGCAACTTGAACTTCCGCACATTTGTGCAAAGTTCTATGTTAAAAACAGAGATAGCAGTAATAACTTTAATTAGAATGAACAAACTAATGAATAACCTTGATAATGACACTTATTTGCAAGAGATCTCAAGATTATAGACGATCAGATGATTTCGGCTATTCGCGCGTGTATTTGTGTACCCCACGATTGAATTAATTTTTCTACCACTCAACTGACCATTTCGTCCCACATTCCAATAATATCTCAGGTGGTTTCCACAAGTGCGAGTGGTTCAGTAGTACGCGTATTTTATTCTTCAACACTTGACGTCGGTTAAAGAATAATTAGTATTTCGATTCAGGAGATTAATTTCGGCATCGCTACTTCGGTTCATCGTCGATGGTTTACTGGTCAGACGCTTGCCCACTACGATCCTTGTTGGTTTACTGGCGGACGTCAGGGAGGAGGCTAGTGCCCCTACAATGTACATGCAAACACCATCGCCAGTGAAACTTCAAAACGCAAAGCATTCGGGGGGGGGTGGAGGGAGGGAGAAAATTATGTAACAGAGATGGGCACTTAACTAATTAGAATTAGTGCATGAATGGAATACGACAGTGAACGAAATAGTATCGATGCCTGATCGCGTACCACCTTTAGCTGAAACAGTGAAGGTCGGCGAGTAATTTTGAGGCATGGCTTATCGCATATGTTTCTTGAAGGAAAGCAGTCTTACATCAACAACGCAGAGGCAGGCGTTCTTAGTGTCCACCATCGGTTTCAGGTCAGGTTTTGCAATAAACTTTGACTTGAACAGAATTGTAAAAGATGACCACTATTTTCTTGAGCTATCTCAGCTTCTCGATATATCACATGATGAAGATTTCCACAAGCGTGCCGGCGGTTGAGGTTTCATTAGTACGTGTATTTTTTATCCTTCAACGCCCAACCTACTTCCTCTACATCGGTCAAGAAAAAACAATTAGTATGGCGATTATGGAGAAGAATTAGCTCGTCCAAAGTACGAAGCATATTTTAGTATCGGTATATCGGTGGTTCACTGGTAAGACGCTTGTCAACCATGATCCACGTTCGTCTCCTGGGCCGATACCATGAATAAGAAAGGAAGGTATCGACTTCACAATGTGTCTATGAAAAATACCACAGCCAATGAAATTACAAAATTACAGCTTGAAGCTTTACGCTTCATTTGGAACACTAAGGAATGGTGGGAAACTGTTGAGCATTTAGCTAATTGGAATTAGTGCATAAACAACTGAATGTTGTAATTTGACAGTGTTTGATCTCGTAACTTTAGCTGAGACAGTAAAGAGGTAGGCGAGTAATTTTGAGGCACCGTTTATCGCTAAAACGTGTAATAGTCTGTTTTTTTCATGAAGGAACTGTTACAAATACGAACGAAGTACATAGTAGTATTTACAGGACAATGCATTTCGATTTCGCTTCTGAATGAATTACTATTGAAAGATGGTCGGTCATATCCGGAACTTTCTAAACAAACATCAACTTAGGAGATAAATGTATCTCAACTCATAGCTTTCAATACGAAGTAATAAAATTAATACAAACCTTTATACAATATTTCAGATCGAAGGGTGAAAATTCAGTGCGTATTGAAGTGCACTTTTTTGACATTTCAAACATCTACTAAGGTTGATTTAGTTAAAACGCTAATGAATGCGTTGGCATTTTGATCATCTTATACAGGTTATTACATAATCCCATAGATAAATGTATTGTATTTTTCAACTTCTCTACTTGAGGAACAAAGCCACAAACTAAGATGGAATGTTACACAACATCTATTTACTATTCCATGCAGTTGAAGGGGGCAGTGCAGGGAAGGAACCTATTGTTGTGAACGGTTTGACCTCAAGGACCACCACCATTTGTTGCAAGTCGAGAGGTGAGAAAAATGAGAGTTTTTATCTCTATCAGGAAACTAGACAGCCTCTGAAAAGTATAATCAGCTGTAAAAAACGAACCAGCGATATAAAAAGTAGCTTAGTTGGCCATGTCAAATCGAAATATACAGTGCGCAGTCAGATGATCAGGGGAAGAAATGCTGTAAACATTAAGTACACTGCAGTTCCCAACAAGACTTTTTCCGCACAACAACAAAGGAAGTTTTTTTTTGCTTTTGTGAAGTAATAATGAGAGGTAACGATAAATTTGAATTCTAAACAAATACCAAATCATGTGATAAACTTGTGGCTTTCGGTACAAACAGTGTGAAGTAACTTACTGTTGTGTTAATCAAGCGGTGAAATATTCAGTGTTCTAACGCACTTGTCCAGTGTAAGCGGCAAATGTTTTGTTTTTAATAAACCTCGCAAACTGAAGCTTTTAAGTATCTGTCGTGCTCGTATTGTTTTCTTGCGGTGTTGGGCTATTTTAGTTTCACGGCCAACCTTCCCTAATTCCCTGAGTTTACACTAGCAACATGGTGAGGTTTGTGAGTGCGTCGGTTGAGAGTTGAACCCTGGACAACGTGTGTGGCTGGTGAGTGAGCATTCTAGCAAGCAACTTTATCCTGAATTCAGTCAGAGTAGTGGTCACGGTTTTGGCTTTTCGAGAATTTTATTGATTTCAAGTTTTTGATCACGAACTGACTTCAATCGAAAGATCTAAGAATTTATGGGTGTGAGGACAAATACTCACTGATCGAATTCGCTAGTGTTCGTGTCGTATCATGAATTGGCAGAAGTTGGAATTCATGAACCATTGAATAGGGTCCCAGTGTCTTAATGGTCTACGAGCTGGCTCGCCTTGCAACCAGAAGGTCCTGGTTTCTAACCGTGGCGATGGGTGCGTACTGATGAAGAAACCCAAACTGGGATGAAACAACTGTCCAGAACTCTTAGGCTTTCCAATAATCCTCCAATCGGTGTCAGTTCAGGATGAAATCCTGAATGTCTTTCCAGTGACTGGATAGTTAGCTGAGCTCGACTTTCAAACTTAGGGTCTTGTGTTCGAGTACGTACTTCCGAAGAACCTTAAACAAGGACGAAACAGCCGTTCAGAACTTTTTGGTTCTCTAACTAAAGTTAATTTGCTTGGAGTCGATCAAATTCTTGAAAGCCAATACTTGAAATTAATAACCTATTCGCAGATTTTTATAGTACCTGCTGAAGGAGTCGTTCCTGTTAGATGATAAGAGGCAATTGGGAAGAAGCTTTGACTTACGTCGATTTCGTGATTATTGACACTCGCCTATCAGTTAACAAGAAGAATCTAAAATCTCATATCCCCTGTAAGATTTGAAACCGCGTTACTACCACCCAATGCTGCCGTAGGAAACGTTAACGTCCAACACCTAGCACTATCAACGAAGGACAACATGATGTATCACACAGTGAAACTGCATTAGTATTTACTGGACCCCCGTTTCGAACTAATTTATTGTTCATAATCATATCAATGATAATCACACGACTTCGAAACTTGATTTTTCTAGTTTTCTTTGTTCTCTCCTATTTGTCGTCGTAGGGGTATTAGAATTTTCCAGATATCTGCGTGGACAGGTGTTAAGTCATTCCTATTACACGTATTCCCTCTCAGTTGATTCGATAAATAAAGCTTCTGTTATCAATCTCTCCCTCCACCGTGCTGTTACATTCGATTTTAAAACTGTCATCTTTCCACCCCATCCAGCCTATTGTATGGTTGTGTGTAATTGCATGTAGTGCTTGCGATAGCTACTGAACTATTCTCTAGATTTCTTATCTTATTCGGGTCAACCGATGTAGATTTTACTGCTAGTTTTTTGTGCTCGGCTAGTCTGATTGACACTGTTCTATTACTTTGACCGATGTATTTGACCTGACAATCATTACAGCAGGGTATTAGATAAACTAAATTGTTTTGTTTTAAAGGCTCCACTGGCAGGATCCTTTGACCGACAAAGCTTGCTTCTAATTGAGTTTGTGGATGGTTTGAATACCAGCCATTTTTACTCCTGCCTTGTTAAGAATTCTCCGTAAGGTGGCTTCTGAGGTTCCTACTTTGTATGGAATTACTACTGATGATTTAGGCTCCTTATTGTTGGCGTTGTCTTGCGCATGTTTGACAGGCTTGTCGTCATTATTATTATTATCACTATGATTATTTATTTTTACATTACTTTCTGACCAATTTATAAATAATAATAATAATTTTTTCCTTCACGTTCCCCAGTGGAACATAGGGCTTCAAGCTAGTAGCTTGAAGTTTCTGTAGCAGAGTTTATTTTACAGGATGGGGTTGCTAGCCTCATGCCCAACCTTTCCTCTTTACCAGAATTATTTCTGGCTTAGGGAGGTAAAGGTGTGCGTCGGCCGGGGATCGAACCCCGGACTATGTGCATGGTCGGCGAGCGTCCTAACCGCTATACCACTGACCAATTTACCAAGGTAATTATTAAGTTTCAAAGTTTCTCTTATATGCTGGAGGCAGAATGATAACAGAAGCTTTGTTTATCGAATCAACTGCAAATATGTGTAATAGGAATGATTCAACACCTATCCACACACTCCTAGACATCTGGAAAATTCTACTACCCCTACGACGACAACTAGGAGAGAACAAAGAAAACTATAAGACTCAAGTTTCGAAGTCGTGTGCCCGAGTTTTACACATATATTAAGAAGGAGTACACGCCATGCATGACATGACATCAGTTAATCAGTGTGTGTGTACCTAGTATGCCAAGTCAATGTATACCATCAATTGCTATATTAAACATTTTCGTAACTGCTGAAATTCGTAAATTATTTACACATTCAGAGAAATTAAGTAATAGTATCTATCATTAAGCAGAATATACACATATGAAGAGGCAAAATGAATAATAATAATAATAATAATAACAAATGCGATGATAACAGACAAAAGTTGATCCATATACAAACAAAGAGAGAAAAGAAAGGAGGAATTATACACATAGCTATTATTATTATTATTACTATTATTACACATATGAACGAGAAATAAGAGAGATCATCTCCTAGACTTGACACGATCACGTTGACGTGTTGTTGATGTTTTTCGAGAATTACTACTCAATCCATAGCCTGTTGTTGTATTCGATGTTAATCCAGCTTGACCATTACTACTACTACTACTACTACTGTGTTTTGTTGATGCGTCGTGATGACTGCCGGATAAAGATTTCATTGGTGCTTTACGACTACTGACAAGTGGATGAACCTAAAAAAAATAAAATAAAATAAAATGCATCGATAAAAACACATTGATGTATATGAATACACATGTGTAACTAACTCACTGGGATCACTTCTTACATTGGGAGAACAGAAATAAAGAAGCGCGACCATCCTACTAGTACCCTGTCAATTCGACATACTCTCAATGGTTCTCTAAATGATATCAGCTCATGATAAAATCATTCAACCAATCGAATAAAATCCCTACAAAGCTATTACTTGAAAAAGAATCTGATACTCACTAGCAACTGGCCCCATTCAGGCAGTTACCTGCGGGTTCTAGTGAGAAGATCTGACCAGTAGGGTACAGCAGATCAAGTATGAGGACAATCAATGACCAGACACCTAACAACCACAGGAATACTGAGTGGGCGTACTGGGAGCACTAAAAATAATCAGCAGTAGTAGTGGTAGAGCGCGTTGACCACTTCACTTATTTGGGAAGTAACACCAGCCAGCTCCAGCGGGTTGATCGCTGACGAAATCTCAGCACGGATACAGAAGGCTAGTTTCGCATATGCCAGTTTACGCCCTCTCTAGCGTAGACGTGATATCCGGTTGGCTGTCGACCAAAAGACGTGTGTACTGCTTGTTAGTCAGCTCCGTCCTCCTTTATGAATAGCTATGAAACATGGCCATCGAAAGTGGAAGGCATGAAAAGGTTAGCTAGCTGTCTTTGATCATAGGTGCCTGCGTTCTATCTCCCATGTGAAGTACTATAATCGAGTGAGCAATATTGAGGCTAAGCGTCGAATGGTATGGAAGGAGCGGAAACCAACCAACAAGGCTGAGAAGTTACATTGATTAAGATGGTTAGGACATGTGTTACGTATGCCTAGCCTAGTCATAGCCTTCCTCGACAATGTTACCTGACTAACATAGGGTCAGGTTGGAAAAGAGCTAGCAGCGGTCAAACCAAAACATGGCACCAGTCAATGAAATTTACAACAGTTAGTTTAAGCCACGTAGGAAGATGTAGACTTCCTGGTTGGTGCCCTCGGGACGGTAAACACCAATGAAGGCTGGAGACAAGTGGTGATATAGTCCAAAATCCTTGTAGTGAATGGCGCAGATGCATCCACTCCTTGTGACTTATAATACCCACTAAAACTATATGGTTCTTCGATATTACTGTTCTTTTTGTCTCACATCTCTGTTTACTGTCTCTATTTTGCGTTTCTTTTTACTTTCCTCTCTTGGTTTGTGTGCTACATGGAGTAGGGTGTGGCGACTCGAATTGCGGCACATCGGTGCATGGTTCTATGTTGAAACCAGTCTGTCAATCAACAGAAAAAGCAGTCCAAGTCTTCTTCGGTTTTCTGAAGCTATAGCAATCAACCAACAGAAACCTGACCTATACATTCAAAAAAAGTCCATCTTGGGTTGCAATTAACCTGGTGAATATCTCTACTTTAGTAACCCTATGTCTTATTATTTCATCATTTTATTCGAACCTCATCCCTTCATTTTTGACCTGACTTCTGTTATGTACTAAGTCGCCAATTTATTGTTATGTACTGGTCGAGAATTTAATAGTCCTGACGCAAGAAGGCAAAAATCAGAAGACCACTAGGTTTCCGATGATACTTCTATTTTGCAAAACACCAGGAGAAGCAATAAGTGGTATCACACCAAAGAAAGTGGACACACAAGATTGTGTGAGCGAAATATATATGAATGTCCAAACAAGTGTGTGAACAAATCAATGGACAGTCTTAACATGAATGGCTAATTATAATGAAGTATCGACCCATATATACATAGCAAAATATAGCAGACATGTCAACAATCACACATATAATATGGATATCTGTCACCAAGCAACGGACTGTCAACAAACACTCATATTATATTATATATAAGGGGAATATATATTGTTAAAGAAGACAGGTTCATCAAAGTGAAATGGTCACAGACTAAGCGAGCAAACAGAAAGAGAGATCACCATATATATATATATATATATATATATATATATATATATGGGTACATATCAACTTCCCATATTAGATTCTAGTTTTGATCATCTTTTGAATTCCATTCAGTGTGTTGCAACACATCTTGAGCTTTTCATTCGACTTCGTACACACCCAAATTTTGATGTTCCTATCTTATGGGTTCTAATCGTTGCTTTTTTGTTATCTCTGATTATGCATTTATCACTGACTTATCATCACCACGAGTCTGATAGAAATTAATTTAAAATATTAGTCAACTTATGACAGAATGACATTGACTGACTGTGAAATTTCATCGTTTTTTTCTTACCTTGAGGTCCCGGTGGTCCAGTCGCACCAACCAATCAGAATATTTATTCCCCATGGACCTAATCAAATAGCCCACCAATCAGAGCAAACTATTTTCTACTGCCCTGGGCAGATTTCAATATATAGTTACAAATATATATATATATATATATATATATATATATATATATATATATATATATATATATATATATATATATATATATATATATATATATATGACGTGTATTTTTCCTAAAAAAAAAGTTGTATCTTAACAGTCACAGACCAGTCTTTGTCTTTTGATATTTTTACGTGGCTCAGTGAAGCGGAAGGGTACCACCATGAACGAATAAGCGTATTTAGCGTTTCCCTTAGGTAGTCTACTGTGTGTGTTAGTGTTATTGTATCCACGCCTACGTTCCTTTGGCCACATCAACCATCAATGTGATCATATCATTTCGAACTATTAAACTTAAACTATGTATTCAAAAAAAGTTCCTACAGGAATTATCCCTCCCTTGTTGGCCTATTAAGACATAACCGACTAATTACTTCTACACCACTCCTTATTTATATTTTCAACTCCTTTCTTATCATCCCTTAATCTCATCACATTTTCATTATGAATGTGTTTCATTTACTTCTCTTACAATCTAACATTACTTAATCGGTTCCTTTGTTTTTACTACCCTTTATCGACTACTATGTCTACCTGAAAATTTGTTTGTTTAATCATGCTGTTTTTTCATTATTCGTGTTATCACAGATTGCCTCACTTTTTCAACCTTATTATTGATATTATTTATTATTATTATTGCTCCCTTGGGTTCCTAGTGGAACATAGGGCTAAAACTGCACGTCTCCATTTTCTTCTGTCTTCTGCTATACTTTTCGCCTGCATCCATGTTAATCCATATTCTTTCAACTCCTCTTCACACGATCTCCTCCATGTCACCCTTGCACTAACGTCCCACTCGCCGCTTCCCTTTCGGGTTCCACTCGAGGGCTTGGCGCGCGATGTCACCCAGCGGTCTCCTCAGCGAGTGTCCGATCCATCTCAACTTTCTCCTGCATATTTGTTGGGCGATTGGTTCTTCCTTTGTTTGTTCCCATAATTCCTTGTTGGTGATTCTTTCCGGCCATCTGATCTTCAATATTGAGCGAAGACAGTTGTTAATAAAGGTCTGCAGCCTTTTGGAAATATACTTTGTGACCCGCCAAGTTTCTGATCCGTATAGAAGAACTGACTTTACGTTTGTATTGAAAATCCGAATTTTGTTGTTGATGCTGGCTGAGTGACGAAGATTTCCAGCTGCACAATTTTTATTCGCCATCGTATTATCCTGTAGACAAAACACCATGATTGGTCTCTATATTTGAATTTTTATTTGTAAACTTATATATATTAGAGTTAAGCCTGATGAGATCTAATTGAAAGCACAATATTGTCCCCTTAAATGTGTTGTTCTAAATATCAATTATTGACAGGTCCCTAACACGCCCTATCAATAAAATTGTTTTTTTTTTTCACGAGTAACTTCGCACTAGTGTTTATTAGTCCTATGTAGACCTCATCATCAGCTGAATGTACCTTAAATCTCATTGAGATTCGAGGACAACGCCCATATGTTTCCAAAGCTAAAGTGTTATTCACTAACGCCAGATTGAAGCATGAGATAAACCGTCAACAGAGACTGCACATTCCGCTTCCAACATTAATCAATCAAAAAGAGAAATACAAAATTAACGTTAACAACAAAGTGTCTAGTAACTTACTTCATCAGTTGGTGCACCAGGTAAGTGAATTGGAACTGTTGGTACAGTAGAATGTAATGAATTCTTTGATGCTAATTCATTTGGACGAGTATCACCAGGTTTTTTCTGACCACCACCACCACCATTTGGTCGTTCAGAATTCTGTGTGCTGACAGATTCTTCACCACCTGACAAATCATCTGGATTATCAACTTCAGGAGAGATGGACAAGTACATGAGAATATCTTCACATTCTTCATCTTCATCGCTATAATAGACAACAATGAAGGCATACAATAAATAGATTATCAGCTATTATATATATATATATATATATATATTGGTGTTTGTGAATAGGTTTCGTTCATTCAACTGACTTTATTGTATTGAAGAGATGAATAAATATAATAATAATAATTTGCTTCATTCCGAAACAGTACTTGTGAATACAGAATGGAATTCTCAGCATTTCACTACATACAGTATTGCATCCAGTTAGTACATTAACGATAGATAAAGTTCTACATAGATTAAAGTTATCTCAGTTAGTTTTGACAACAACATATTTGTATATCGGTAGCAAAGCCAAAAATTGAACAGAATGTTTGAAGGTGTTAGAAAAGTAGATACCACTAGCATATTTACTGGCGTAAGCGGTAACAAAAGGTCGAGATATACAGAGTGAGAAAGAACGAAGAAGAATGTTTCAAGTAGAGTTTGTAAGGAAGAGAGAAACAAAGCTGCACATAACAGAAAGAGAGAGAGAGAAAAGGAAAAGAAAGAAAGAAAGGAAAACGTTGTACCCATAAATGATACGAGTTGGAAAGACGAGATCCAGTTGTTCCACTGACTATTTAATAAGTTATAGGTACCACACCTAATGCTTTTTTTTATCGCACAGAACACGAGTTAAGTAGGGTATTGTTGAGCTTTTGTACTTACTAGTGCGAGCATATTGTTTTCTATATAGGCTTGTGGTCCTACCTGATGGGATACAAGGGGAGAGTTGTGAATGAAGATGGTGGTGGTGTGAGTTAGATAGATAGAATGGATTTAGCCCATTTTTCACATAAGTCCAAGTGCCTGTTAACCAGAATGTTAACAAGCTCATTAAATGGCACGTTGCTTACCACCCTGCTGACAATCTTCAACATGCTGCATAATAAGATATAGTACTTCTTCAGTAGCCCTGAAAAAACTAAGGGGGAACAATGGAGAATAATGGCCAGGATGCAAGAGTTAACGAATCGTAAGAGTTGGGTTGGGTTATTCCAGAATATCTTAACTTCTTGATGTAGAAGGTAACATGGAATATTTTCTAAGAAATCACCAAGATATGATATGTGAATATGGATTATGAGGAGAAATTAAACACTCAAGGACTGAAGAACTCTCTTCACCAAGAAAGTGACCATTTAATTATTAACTACTAATTCCGTCGACCGACAGCTCTGGTGATGGTGGACATCGGACTCTCGTATCACAATGACCCAATGAGCTATACTGGATGAAATTATTGTTCCTGAAGGTTCTACCATACCGAAAAAATCGTCTGGAAAGCAGTCCGCATCAGAGTATAAGCCGTCTACATTATATTAGGGGTCTATGGGAGAGGTTGTGCTGCTGACGAATAGAAATGTAACAACCATAAGGCAGTTATGTCGTTTCTTCACTTTGAAGAAGAGTAAGTTAAAAACCGTTGACGCCAAAAAATTGTATGTCCTTACTGATCCAGTTGGCAGTCAGCAGTCCGTAGTGAGATCTTCATACCGACACAACTCCGAAAACAACTTCAAAAAACAAAGCCGTGTATGTGTGTAACCTGTCTGAAGCAGTTGTCGTCTTGGCTCTGCGGTCACACAACACAATAGTGGTCTCTCTGTTTCAGCTACTCTAAAAAGAAATCAACTTTAACGGTATGGGTGTGATGACAGCTATCTACTAGCCAAAATTGGTAGGCAACAATTTACGTCCCAAATCTTGGTCATGAAAAAGAAGACTAAGTCAACAACTAATCACAGCAAACTTAGCGTGGGCGGATACGCTTCGCAGATATATGTTCTGACCTCGAAAGAAATGGCCACAAAGAGATGACAGGATAGATAATTTTTAGCGAGAAAGCAACCAAACAGAAGACGCTGTGTTCTCTGCTAATAATAACATATAGTAATTTACATAAAATAAATATAATTATCAGCTGATTTTCTCAATAAATGATCTGTCGCCTGACTTTTGTCTTCTGTCGTTACATGGATAGCAAAGAAGCAATAATCGAATGCACACTCCCTAAGAGCAAACAACATAAAGTCACCAAGCGAGTTGTTGTTATCAGTACAAAATCCCCAAACGCGACAGTAAATATTTCTTGACAAACGAGCACAGAGAAGAACTAAAAAAACTTAATAAATGACGAGAGACTGATAATCACAAGGCCGGATAAAGGATCAGGAGAAGTCATGGTTGATAGAAGTGACTATATTAAAAAGATGAATGATACATTGAAGGACACACAGAAGTTTCAAAAACTTGAGGAGAAGAAAGATCTCAATAACAAAATAGACAATGAATTAACCAGACGTTTGAAGAAACTAAGGGAAGAGCAGATATTCAGCACGTATACGCCAAGATTGTATGGCCTACCTAAAGTGCATAAATCAGGAGTACCATTAAGACCAATACTTGATATGCGAAATTCGCCCTACCATGCTCTAGCTAGATGGTTAGTAAATATTCTCAAACCTTTGCATGAGAAGATAGTGAAATATAGCGTCAAAGATGTATTTGAATTCATAGAAGAAATATAAGAAATAATATCAAGGAAAGAACCTTGATATCTCTGGACATAGCATCGTTATTCACAAATGTACCTTTAATAGAAACAGTTATTTACATAGATGAACAAGTGGACGAGCTGACGATAAACACTGGCATACATACTGAGATCCTAAAAGAATTGATATTAAGATGTACCATGAATGTAAATTTCAGATTTAACGGCATGTTTTACAGACAAGTGGACGGGGTGGCGATGGGCTCCCCATTGCGTCCCATTCTGGCTGATTTCTTTCTAAGTAAGCTAGAAAATGGACCTCTGGACAACCTTACCAGTAAGCTCTCATTTTATTGCCGATATATGGATGATACCTTTATTCTTTGTGATAATGGTTCTATTAGGAGTACAATAATTACTGAATTCAATGAAGTACATTCGGGTATGAAATTCACATGCAAAGAGGAATCCCAAGACAGAATTGACTTCCTGGATGTCCTGCTTACAAGAAAACCAGATGGTAGCATAAAAACAAAATTGCATAGAAAAAGTACTTGGACAGGACAATATACACATTTTCACAGCTTCGTTCCTATCAAGAACAAAAGAAATTTAGTAAAGACCCTCACTCGGCCACAGAGTTAGAGCTATATGCTGAGAAGAAGTAATTGAAGATGAACTAAGCATTGTATATGATACTTTGATCGAAAATGGCTATCCCGAAAAATTTATCAAGAAACACATGACAAAGAAAACGGAAAAAGACTACTCACTACCTGTAAAAAAGAAGCCTCTTTATATACGACTACAATTCATGGGCGATATACCGAGTGAGATAATCACGAAGAAATTAAGAAAATCAGTTCAAAGAACTTTTAATGCTGACGAACTACATGTCTTGTTCTATACACGACCGATGGTGCTACCTTGACTGAAAGATGAAGTATCTAGACTAGCTAGCCACTTCTAATTGTATCTACCAATTCAACTGCGCCTCGGGTCGAGCGAGTTATATTGGCCGTTGTTCTAGGAACTTGATTTTCCGTGCTAGCTCGAGAACATCTCCCAGCATGGCTAAGTAAAGGTGTAGTTAAAACTATTAACAGCTCGATATTGGAGCATCTGGTGCAAACAGGACACAAAGCCAGCGTAGAAGAATGCTTCTCTATATTAAACCGGGTGACTAATAAATTGCTAAAAACATCGAAGCACCGCAGGCTGCAAACAGCAGAGGCTATTGCAATTCGCCTCAAACAACCAGTGTTTTTGTGTGCAAAAGAAGCAAGTCCAGCCCTTACTTCTGCCTAGCCCTAGCATTCAGTAGAGACTATAAATTCATGAATTTGTAATATTACCTTTCCTAATTCTTCTGACAACATTCAGCTTATTTTATGTTGATGCGATTCAGCTGTAATCTATCAATATTACTGATTCGATGTTATTTAAACAGCAACATTAATGTCGTTCATAACACTAACTCATTCATTCATTCACTATAATGTTGTATATATAACTGTAGAGCCTGATGATGAAGGGGTTATCGAAAAGAGTACTCTTTGTCCAGTACGTTAGTGTGGAGGTAATATTTTGTCACAGGATAACTATCGTTAAGAAATACATGAAGAGTAAAGCAATAAGAACAGAATTTAGGACAAAATGGTAGATTACAATTCCATTGTAGAATAAATACTTCTAATAGATACTTAAGCTTCAGACTATATTTCACCAGTTACCGGTAAGAGTAGGCTGTGTTGAGTAGCTTAACCAATCGAGTGAGAACTTGAAGTAGCTTATCAGACAGTCTATATTACTGAAATAAAAGGCGCACACAGAAAAAGCATTATTGCCAAACAACTGCCGTATAAAACTCATTAGGAAGTCCAAAACCCCTACAAAGAGAAAAGAGAAAATACCAGTGAAACTATTGACCATGACACAGAGAAGAAGGAATTTAAGTCATCCACAGTTTTTTTTTCATAATAATACACGTAGTTCAGAGACTCTTTTTTTCGGTGGTGAATTCATTCACACCTAGCTGTACAATCACAATTATATATACTCATTTTTGTATGTGTGTGTGGGTACAACATTGGGTTTGTCCGATATGAATAAAAATTAGTTAGGGTTATTGTTGTCAAGACATTTCAAAAATGTCCATTGGTCCACAGAAGCCTTAAGGACTAAGACCTCATATCTGGCCACTTTCTGTGTGTGTGTGTGTATGTCAGTTCACATGTTGCTGTAGAGGCAGCCGGGTACATTGGTCGTTCGATGAGTATCCTCGCCAAAAGGATTCAAGAATACTAACCCGCATGGCTACAAAAGGTAAGTAACTGTGACTCCATTATAGATAAGATTTTATTTTGATAAATCACACAGTGCTGTTATACAGTAATATTAACTGATGACCACGTTTCGAGCACAAACTATTGTTCATAATCATATCAAGTTACTCACACAACTTTGTTCTTTCATTTATATACTTGTGTGGAATTGAC